AATGATTTTTATCCTTCCTTTTTTTAATGTGGTGTATCACATTGATTGATTTTCAATGTTTAACCATCTTTTCATCCTGCAGTAAATCCCACTTGAGTATGGTGTATGATCCTTTTAATGTATTGTTACAAGAAGCACCTTTAACGTTCATATTTCTAGCAACATTCTATTCATGACGATATATGTATTCTCTAAGACAATAAAAGCTTTCTCTACAGCTCTCCCCTTTTCCTTCCAAGCTCTCACCAGAATCACCTTTAACGTCCATGTTTCTACTAACAGTCTTTTCAAGGCAATCTAGGTTTTGTTCTATCATGTACTTCAAAGCTCTTGTAGCTTCTACCATTACCCAATTCCATAGCCATTTCAACATTTTTAGGTATTTGTTACAGCAGTAGCTCACTTCACAGTACCAAAAATCTGTATTAGTTTGCTTGGGCAGCCATAACAAAGTACCACAAACTGAGTGGCTTAAAGAACAAAAAATTATTGTCTTACAGTCAGCAGGCTAGAAGTCTGGGATTAGACATTGGCAGGGTTGTTTTCTTCTGAGGGCTTGAGAGAACATCTGTTTCATGCCTCTGTACTACTTTTTGGTGGTTTTTGGATATTTGACATTTCCTGGCTTGCGGATGCATCACCATGTCTCTGCCTTCATCTTTACATGTGTTCTCCCCATGTGTGTGTCTGCCTCTGTGCTCAAATTTTCTGTTTTTGTAAGAATACTGTTCATCCTAGAATAGGGCCCACTCTAATGACCTCATTTTAATTTGATTACCCCTATAAAGACCCTATGTCCAAATAAGGTCACATTTTGATAGAAATGTGAGATACTGTATATTGTGGGGGGAGTATTACAATTCAATGAAATTTTGTATTTGTTCAGGGGATGGTTACAATTCAACCCATAACCCCCTCATTGTAGTGTCAGGGATTGTGGAGATCACAGTTAACTGTGCACCAGTATCGAAAGGGCCCAACAAATGCAATTCTCTCCTACCTCCCTACTGAACTCTGAACTTGGTATAGGACCGCTGTTCTCCACTACGGACATAGGGACCTCAGCACATCCTCTAGTCTTGTTTATTTTTGAAAGCCGAGACATCTGGTTAAAAGTTGACAAGGCTCTCCAATTCACCTTCAGATTCACAGGGAGGAGCAGAGAGAATAGCACTTGTATTAATTACAAGGTCCATCACCTTGCAGACCCTAGTGAGGCAGCCTACTAGACCCCCTGGCTCACTCACCATGAGTTCCTTGGTGGGAGAGCCCATCAGTCTTCTCTTTGGGAACCTATTGTTGAGTAACCAGGCCCAGAGATCTCTTTGGGAAGGCCGTAGCCCAAATGGTCTAGGAGAGGACACAGGCTTACCCTTTTTACATCACTCTTTCTGCTGGTCAATCTTTGCTATCTGGGCAGCAGCCACATTTTCCAAACTCGATGATTTGTCATTGTACATCTGGACTGTGTCACAGACTGAACAACATGGCCTTATGAGAAGTTTTAATTGCGCTCAATAACCAGTAGGATTTGCATGAACAAACCTAGAAATCTGAGTCTTGTTAACAGTCTCATCATCTATTGTTCTCACCCCTCATTTGTACATGTAAGAGACCACTAAGGTGGCTCACAGGGAAACTGTATCCACTGGAAGGATGATCCAACCATACTATTTAGTGGCAAGGAACTCATCATGTGTGGGCCAAATCTCTCAAAGCCCAAATATTACCCAACTGAGGATGTAGATGGTCTTGAGTGCTTGCACCCTTTCATCCCAGTGCCATCTTCCTCCTCTTCCTTAGACAAAGCAGCTACTGTTATTGTACTCTGAAAGTGGGGGTCTATAGTGACACACTCCTGAGGTGCCACTGTCACTCACCAAGTTTAACAAGATTACCTCCTTCATCATGGAGACAAACTACTCAAGTCTCTAAGAGCTTCAGATTGCTGGGTGCAGTGATCCCAAAGCACTCTACATTCTTTTCCATTTTAGGCATGAGTCTCAACAAAAATTCGCTGTGTTATAGGCTGTCTTTTGGTGCCAGGGACATGCTTATAGCTAACAGTAGTAATTGGGTGCAACTCAGCATTCAGGGCCTCTGATGAATTTTGTTCCCGTCATCAGAGGACTGTATCAATAATTGGGGAATTGCTTCTCTAGCTTTCCTAGAGTCTTTCTTTGGTATCTGTAATTTGACCCACCAGGCAAATTTGGCCAAGGAGCTGGAGGCTAAAGGGAAGGACCCGTGGTCCCCCTTATACCTGAAAAGCTTATGTAAACAGTCACTAGCACTCCCCAAAGTACCTCTAGGGTCCACTAGTGCTTCCTGAGACACATTGGCATGGCTGATGAAGTGCCCATGGAACTCTCAGACTCTTGCAGATGATCCACTAGCATCACTTGGACTTCTCTAACACCTCCCAAAAGTGCCCCACGGGATTTTCAGGGTCTTTCTTTTCTAGAAAGGCAATGTGCGTTATTAACCACCTTGCTCGTTGCACCACTTTATCAGAGAAAGCACTGTCAGTTGGTCAATTAAGATGACAAGCCAGGGCCGGCCCCGTGGCTTAGCAGTTAAGTGCGTGCGCTCCGCTACTGGCAGCCTGGGTTTGGATCCCGGGCGCGTACCGACGCACCGCTTCTCCGGCCATGCTGAGGCTGTGTCCCACATACAGCAACTAGAAGGATGTGCAGCTATGACATATAACTATCTACTGGGGCTTTGGGGGAAAAAAAAGGATGAGGATTGGCAATAGATGTTAG